TCACTATTCATGCGTTTCATACAAATTCCATTGTGTTCTAACTGTTCCTTTCTTGATCTTCCCCCATCTTCTGCTGCCAGACATTACGTTGACACTCATGTCATATACTACTTCTAAGTAGCTCGCACCACACTCATCCCCCCTTTTAATAAGCTGTCGTCGTATTCTTTCTGATTGCCGTACCGTTGTCATCCTTGGTGCTTTTTGTGACTCATACACTTGATAATCTTGAAACCATCTCTGCAGTTGACTAGCATTTACGCGCTTCTTCTTGTCTTCTCCTCGTAAACCCGTTTGTCTGCGGATGAAACGGTGTAGTTCGTATCATCTTAACGCCAAACTGCTTTAGACGGGCTTCAAACTCGTCACTTTTAAAACAGAGACCTTGGTCAGTTAATATCACCTTCCGTATTCCGTGACGCGCTACAATATGCTGGTAAAGTAGAAAACGAAAATTTATCATCATTTGCAATCAAAATGGGCCGAATGATGTTAGTAATATGTTGTTGTTGATGTTATTACCATTTTACAAGAAAGAATCAATCGCTTCCTACTTAAAAAACAAAGCTTAGTTTCCAATCATTCTGGATTTAAATCTGATATGCTTGAACTATTACAAGTTCACCTTACTCGGTAAACAAAGCGAAGACAAATGATCCAGTGACACGATAAGCTATTTTAATCCGATTGTCCTAGGCCCTGCAGAGAAAGTGTATTCCTAGATGCATCCGGATAATACGAGAACAAACTTATTTTGGATACAAGTATAGAAACTTCCTTGAAAGGGCCCACTGAAAAATAGCGGTATTAAAATAATCCATCAGTCAATGACAGAGAAATGTAAGCTGAAGGTCAACTAAGCAACTTATGCGCGAAAACCTAAAAAACAAATCCAAAAGTAGGACCTTTATCAAGTGAGTTCTAGGAATCTAACGTCACCAACAGAATCAGAGTATCGTATAATATAGGATTACCATTTTAAAACTGATGACAAAGTCTAGAGACAAAAAAAACGAACAGTTTTTGTGGTTCAAACCCTGTACAACATGTAGTCCATTACTGAAATGTTAGCTGACATCGTATATCGTTAGGTAATTGTGCTTTTAAATGTTCAAATTAACTGTGACGCCAAAGAGTTTTTATTGAAACCATTCAATTTTCATTATTCTATAATTTTGCTGTGTTTGTTCAGCTGAAATAACAAGAACCAATGATGATAAATCTCTTCCGACAAAACGTTTACTTCCATCTATTTTCTTATCAAAATGTTGTACCATTTCAAATGATGCTAAGCAGTACATTGTTCAATCCAACTCGACACATTCCTGTTGTGAATTTGAAATGAATTGGGGTTGTTGTTATTACATAACTCAATGTCATAGTCCTTGTTTCCCAACCACAACAGAAATCAATCCAACATTAAAAACTATTGAATTAGACAATAATTTATCACTCCATCAAAATAATACTGATGATGATTATGTTATAGAAGAGATCCCAGTAAACCGTAACACTACATCAAATCTTTCAAAAATCAATTTAGATTTATCTGAAATTAAATATGAACGTAAACTACTATTAATGATACCAGATACAAGTGAACAATCATCAAATTATGCAGAGAAATTGCCACAACCCATTACTAGAACACATTATTATCATCCTAATTCTCTATCACAATTTCCTAAAGAACAACTGCAAAATTCTCTCAATATTGAACAAACCACATGGTATATTCTATGTTTTTTGATAGAAATTTTAGCATTTGCTCAAATTGGTTATTTAATTTTTGAAGATTTGTTACCATGGATCTCAAATCTACTCATTATTCATTTTGGTTTCAGTATGAAATTGAAACTAAACATTAATTGTCGTCTAAAACGTATGTTTGGTACATTTTTCTTGCTATTTGAAGAATGGAGTTTGTTTATATTTGGTGTTGAACGAATTTGTAGTGTTTTACTGCATAATCATCATCATCATCATCATCATCATGGATTATTAAATCGTAGTTCCCAGCCGCCACCAATGTTAAATGAACCAACTCGATGGAAACCGCATACATTATGCATAAAAATTAGTACATGCCTATTTATCGCGATAATATTCGCTGCATTATGTAATTATCTATGGGTTTTTGGACAATTTCATTGGATTAATTCAGTGGATTCGCAAATCGGTGAAACATACAATATCAGTTTTATTGAAACGTTCACATGTAATGTCAGATCGGAATATTTCAAATTTTATTATACATTTCTAATTTATTTCGACCCGTTATTCTCATTCCTGTTCCCACATTTATGTGCATTTGTAATTTTTGTCATCATTCTATTAAAAATTTGTCTGAAATCAATTTCGAAACGATTTAAAACCCCCAGGAAAATAACTCAGGATGATACTTTGCTTCACATTATTCCATCAATGTATAAATTTCACAGATTGAATAGCATGATTGATCATTTAACCACTCTCATTTATCTTGTTGACAGTTTCATCATTGTCACATTGAAATTTTGGCGCAATATTGAAAAATCCATGATGGTATTTGTTCATGTCACATTAGATATGAATTATTTGATGATTAGAAATGAATTGTATCATTTGGTGTTTTGTTTAGTACCAATTTTGACAATTATTATTTATTTGATGTTTTATGTTAAACTTAGAAAATATTGTAATTTGTGATAAGGAAGACTGATAATTTTTAAACTGAAATCTCTTTTTTCCAATTATTTGTGACCATTTTGTAGATGAATATTGTAAAAAGGAAGTGATTTTGTTGTTGAACTGATTATCTTGTTGTCGTGATTATTTTTATAGTTCACTTATAAAACAATAAGAGAACATTGTCAACAATTGAAATAGTTTACGTAGTAGTGTAGTGAACGAGAACACAGGTGGGGCAACCGGATTGTATTTGTCGAAAATTACAGAGTTACTCAGTAAAATCGGAAAACCATATCGTAAATCGTTAATCTGCAAAATATCAGTCCAGCATCATATCGAACTGGACTGTTCCGGTTGCAAAACATCAATCCATTGTCACTATTCATGCGTTTCATACACATTCCATTGTGTTCTTCTAACTGTTCCTTTCTTGATCTTCCCCCATCTTCTGCTGCCAGACATTACGTTTACACACGCGTCATATACTACTTATAAGTATCTCACACCTCAGCAGATTTGTAGAGTCGAAATCATTTAAGAATCAGTTGACTTTACACAGTGAAAAAAAGCAATTATTGCCGAAAAGTACTTGATAGATGTGTCGTTCTGCTATTGGAGACGCATAGATATGCTCAACTCAGTTCATAAATTTCACTGAGACACTATCTATCGTATCTGTAAATTTTGATTGCACTTCATAACCTCTAAATGCATTATGGGTGTGTGCGTGTTTGTGTTTATTTAGATGTGAGTGTTTAGGATTGAGCAGTTGAGACGTTCTAACTATTCACTGGTATCTAGTTTACAATGAGTGACCAAAATGAACAAGCCTTGATACAAATAAAAATTGTGTTTTGATACTGTCTAAATTATAATTCGCCCAAATTAAGTCATTAATTACTACAAGTTCAATTTTATTATTTCGAAAATGTGTAATAATTTCTAGCATCTTAACTGAAAAGAATAACAATGCATTACAACTATGTCGAATGGATAGATGTAAATGAGAGTTTGAATTCAGAACGTGTTTCATCCGATCTGTGATGTGATTTTCATTCTGTAAATAAAACGTAGTACCTAGAAAGAACAAGACAACATAATAACTGAGGTACTAAAAGCAGGTTTAACAGTAGCTATAAAGATGTTCACACTCTGTTTAGCAGGATTTGGGAAGAACAACAAGCATGGACAGATTGACATGAACAATTCCTCATCAAGATAACAAAGATAGTAAATCTTAACTAGTGGGGGAACTAAATAGGAATCACTTTACTATCAGTCTCAATAAAAGTCTTTAGTAGTGTGTGGATGAACAGAATTTAAGTTCCTACCAACTGCCAACCTTCAGGGCGGCAGGCCCAATTCCACAAGGACCGATCATGTACCAATACAATTCACGACAGTAAAGATCATAGTTGAACAGTCAGTTAGATGGAACTCACAACTAAATATCAAATTACTTGACAACGCAAAAAGCTTTTAATGAATTGGACAGGGTGACACTGAGAAAACGTCTGCGACACTACGGTGTACTTGAGAAAATAGTCATGGTGGATTACACTAGAAATTCGCAAATGGAGGACGGATGTACAATAATTATTTATTTGGTGTTTTACGTTAAACTTAGAAAATATTGTAATTTGTGATAAGGAAGACTGAAATTTAAAAAACTGAAATCTTTCTCTTTTTCGTTTATTTCCAATGATTTGTCAACATTTTGTAGATAAATAATGTTATAAAAGGAAGTGATTTTGTTGTTGAACTGTTTATCTTGTTGTCGTGATTATTTTTATCCTTCACTTATTATGAAATAATAGAACATTGTCAACAATTGAAATAGTTTAGATAGTAGATTTGTTGGAGTCGAAATCATTTAAGAATCAGTTGAGTTTACGTTGTGAAAAAAAGCAATTATTGCCGATAAGTACTTGCTAGATGTGTCGTTCTGTAGTGAAGGAGAACACAGGTGAGGGCTACCGAATATTGTATTTAACGAAAATTACAGAGTTACTCAGTAAATTAGGAAAACCATATCGTTAAGCTGTTAATTTGCAAATCTTCAATTCATTGTCTGATATTTATTTCAATATTCATGCGTTTTATACAAATTCCATTATTTTCCCACTCCTACTGTCTTTATGTTCACCCATCTTCTGCTGCCAGACATTACGTTCACACACGCGTCATATACTACTTATAAGTAACGTGCACTACAGTTCTACTATTGGAGACGCATATATATGCGCAACTCTGTTCATGAAATTAACTGAGACACTATCTACCTTATCTGTAGATTTTGGTTGAACTTCATGACCTGTAAATGCAGTATGGTTGTGTGTGTAGGTGTGTTTTTTTATATACAAGTGTTTAGGATTCAGCAGTTGAGACGTTCTAATTATTCACTGGTATCTAATTTTCAATGATTTACCAAATGAACAAGCCTGTATATAAATAAAAATTGCGTTGTGATACTGTCTAAATTAAAATTCACCCAAACTAGATAGGATAGATGTAAATGAGGGTTTGAATTCAGAACATGTTTCGTCCGTTCGGTGATGTACTCACACCTCATAGTTGTTTTTCATTCTGCATCCAGTACATAGAAAGACAAGACAACATAGTAGCTGAATTACTTAGGCAGGTATATGAGTAGCTACGTAGATGTTCACATGCTGTTTAGCAGGATTTCGGAGGAACAACAACCATGGACAGACAGAAAAGAACACTTCCTCGTCAAGATAACAAAGATAGTAGATCATAACGAGTGGGAGAACTTAATAGGAATCACTCTACTATCAATCTCATTAATAGTCTTCAGCAGCGTGTTGCTGAACAGAATCAAAGTTCCGACCAACTGCCAACTTCTAGGTCGGCATGCCCACTTCCACAAGGATCGACCATGTACCGATATAAATCACGACAGTAAGAATCATTGTCGAACACTCAGTTAGATGGAACTCACAATTAAACCTCGAATTTCTTTTTACAATACTGTTAGATACCCCCAACACCTCTAGCATATGCCCTCCTATGGTGTGGACAGCTAATGTACATGGTTTGATTGTCTTACATTGCTCTTTGCCTATTAACGATATAGCTGCCCCTGTATCGATCAAACACACTAACTCCTGTTCATTTATGTACACTCTGGCATAAATTGCCCCTCTATCTACACTAGTGCAAGAACCTCCAGATTCCTAGGGTGGAACGAACACACGTTATAATGTTTAAAATATGGTCGTCGTCGTCTTCTTGAACAGTTTATCTTCCAATGTCCTGCCCCTCCACAAGCGTTACATTTATCGTTCCCTTTATGATCCACTCGTAATGCTGCTATCTCACTCTCTAACTACACAATCTTCTTCTCGAAAGTATTTATCTCCTGCTTTTTGCACCCGACCGGAGCTACTGTTCGTGTCATCAGCTGACGAGTCACCTACGCCAGTTCACCGATGTCCAAAGGTCGCGCTGCGTTTACTAGTCTCAGCTGCTGGGACAAGGCGGCAGGCACACTCTCGATAAACTGCGACGTCAACAACTGTGCCTCCGACTCCTCATCGATGTTCGGTAGCGCACGGCACAACAATCTGGTGAGTTCCACAGCAAGCAACAGCGGGTCACCATCAGCCGACAGCCTCGCCAACCGGAACTCCTGCAGCGCCTTCTCCCTGTCCACTGGGCTGCCGAACTCCGCCATCAGCCGCCCGGTGACCGTCTCCCACGTCGTCTCCCCGCCAGCACCGTCCAAGCTGTCATATACGGCCTTTGCCCTCCCTCTCAGCAGCGTCCCCAGCACCGCCAACTTCGCCTTCGGCTCCTTCACACCCTCCAGCTTCGCCACGGCCTCAAACTCCTTCAGAAAGCTCCGCTTATCTCCGTCCTCAAACTCCTTTGGCCATGGTATCTTCATCCTTTGTATAGGCAGCGACACCAAATGTAGTGAAAGAGAACACTGATAAGACTTCAGTGAAAATTAAAACACAGGGCTAGCGAAACCATTTCAAATTGTACTATTAGAAAGCATGTGTTATCTATAATTTCACACAATACCACGGATTCATAATAATGTGAATTTTATCACAGTACAATATATTTGTTGATTTATAACGTCAATGTTTTCGTTAAATATTCAATTTAAAACAACAACACAAAGACTGTAAAAATAAAAAACCACATGAATTCATGAATAATTTATTATTACCATCCATCATGAAAATTAAATTGTAAATAAACCATGTTATAAAAAAAATGACGCCTGTACAATAACAAACAAACAAATTCGAGGAAAATATAGTCATTCTCATGGGAAATTTATTTTTGCTGTTGTTCAGTGTTCAATTTTTTTTGGTTGTTTGAATTTCCCACTGAGGGGAAAAATATAATATGGCGAAATAAAATTTCACACATTTCTATTGTAGTGAAGGAGAACACAGGTGAGGGCAAACGAAAATTGTATTTATCAGAAAATTACAGAGTTACTCAGTAAAATAGGAAAACCATATCGTAAATCGTTAATTTGCAAAACATCAATCCATTGTCTAACATTTCACTGTTCATGTGTTTCATACAAATTCCATTGTGTTCTTCTAACTCTTCCTTTCTTGATCTTCCCCCATCTTCTACTGCCAGACATTACGTTTACACTCGCGTCATATACTACTTATAAGTAGCTCACACCACACTATTTTGATTTAATGTCAATATTAAATACTTGTTTGTATATATTGTAACATACAAAAAGAGAACGTCGGAAATAAATTACTTAGAAAAATCTTCCTCTAACAGTAGACAATCCAGGTGAATAGAGTATAACATATATATATATATATATATATATATATATATATATATATATCTTTGCGTGAACATGTATGAGGTCATTGAAAAAAAGATGGCGTCCAACAAAAAACAATGAGCGATGAGATAGCAAGCAATCTAATCAAGTCTAAATACAGTGACATTAATTGTATAATCAGTTAATTATAGAGCTGATGAAGATTGTTTTTGTCAGTTTTCGA